AGTGAAATCGCTTTAAAATTTGGGTGGGGAGAAGTGAAATCGCTTTAAAATTTGGGTCAGAGCAGTGAAAGGCACCCCAAATTTGGGGCTGGGGGAGGGGAGAGCCGCACCCCAAAATGTGAGGGGTGGGGGAGTGAAATCCCTTCAAAAGTTGGGTTGGCGGGGGCAGAGAAATTGTTTCAAAATTTGGCTGGGGAGAAGTGAAATCACTTTAAAATTTGAGGAGGGGCAGAGAAAATGAGACCCCTCCCCAAAAATCTGGGGAGGAGGGATCAGGAAGACCCCAAAATATGGGGGGTCCCAGTGGGGTAAGGAGGTCCTGGCAGGGTCAGGGGGGTCCTGGCAGGGTCAGGGGGGTCCTGGAAGGTTCAGGAAGGTCCTGGAAGGTTCAGGAGGGTCCTGGCAGGATCAGGGCGGTCCTGGCAGGGTCAGGGGGGTCCTGGAAGGTTCAGGAAGGCCCTGGAAGGATCAGGAGAGTCCTGGAAGGATCAGGAAGGTCCTGGCAGGGTTAGGAGGGTCCTGGCAGGGTCAGGAAGGTCCTGGAAGGTTCAGGAGGGTCCTGGAAGGATCCCGGGGTGGAAGTCAGCGCAGAGCCCGGTGTCCTGGGGGTGGGGAGGGGTCACGGGGGGGGGACAAAGGACCCCGGGACCCCCCCAGAGCCACAGACTGGGGGTACCCCAACCCCCCACACCCCAACCCAGGCTGCTGCGCCCCCAGCCCCAATTCGGGGTCCCCAGCCTGGGTGGGCTCCTTGTCCCTTGTCCACAGAGCACCCCCTGACCCCCCAAACTGGGTTTATGACCCCCCAAACTGGGATTCTGACCCTCAGACCCCCCCCCAAGCACCCCCAAATCTCACTCCTGCCCTCCCCAATTCGGGGGGTCCCAGCCCACCTCCAGCGCCAGGCTCCAGCCTGGGGTGACCCTGGTCCCTCCCCAGCTCTTCTGAACCCCAATTACTGACCCCAAACCACCCAAATCCCCCCCAAATCTCACTCCTGACCCCCCCGGGGTGTCCCCCTCCCCAATTCGGGGGGTCCCAGCCCACCTCCAGCGCCAGGCTCCAGCCTGGGGTGACCCTGGTCCCTCCCCAGCTCTTCTGAACCCCCATTACCGACCCTAAATCCCCCCAAAACCCCCCCCCCCCCCCCCCCCCCCACCAGTGTCTCAGTCCTGCAGCAGGTATTTTGGGGCCAAGTCAGCCACTTTTCCAGGGAGAAAAACTGCAGTTTTCCATCCCAGTACTGGGGGGGCGGGGAGCTGGGGACCCCAAACACAGCCCCAAAGACACCCTCAGAACCTTCTGAAGCTCTCAGGGAGCTGGGGACCCCAAAAACAGCCCCAAAGACACCCTTAGAACCACCTAATGCTCTTGGGGAGCTGGGGACCCCAAAACAGCCCCAAAGACACCCTCAGAACTCCCCCAAAGCTCTCAGGGAGCTGGGGACCCCAAAAACAGCCCCAATCCCCCCTTAGAACCACCCCAAAGGGTTCAGAGAATGGGAGACCCCGAAAACAGCCCCAAAGACACCCTCAGAACTCCCCCAAAGCTCTCGGGGAGCTCGGGACCCCAAAACAGCCCCAAATACCCTGTTAAAACCATCCAAAGGGTTTGGGGACCTGGGGATCCCAAAACAGCCCCAAATACATCCTCAGAACCTTCTGAAGCTCTCAGGGAGCTGGGGACCCCAAAACAGCCCCAAAGACACCCTTAGAACCACCCAAGGGAGATTTTTAGGGCACCAAGGGAGGTTTTTGGGGTTTTGGGGCTCTGCCCACCTCGACCTCGTGCAGCAGCTCCAGCGAGGGGCTCCAGCAGAGCACCCTGCGGTCCTTCCCGCCCCCGCTCAGCACGGTCCCGTCGCGGCGGCGGCAGAGCGCGAACACGCTGCCCTCGTGGGCCCGCGTCTGCTGCCCGATCTGGTACATGTCTGGGGGGCTGGGTCAGCCCCAAAAACCCCAAAAACAGCCCCAAAACCAGCCCCCAAACAGCTCAAACCCATCCCAAAACCATCCCCCAAAACCAGCCCCAAATCCACCCCAAACCCCGCGAACACGCTGCCCTCGTGGGCCCGCGTCTGCTGCCCGATCTGGTACATGTCTGGGGGGCTGGGTCAGCCCCAAAAACCCCAAAAACAGCCCCAAAACCAGCCCCCAAACAGCTCAAACCCATCCCAAAACCATCCCCCAAAACCAGCCCCAAATCCACCCCAAACCCCGCGAACACGCTGCCCTCGTGGGCCCGCGTCTGCTGCCCGATCTGGTACATGTCTGGGGGGCTGGGTAAGCCCCAAAAACCCCAAATCCACCCCAAAAATACACTAAATCCACCCCAAAACCATCCCCCAAACCCACCCCAAAACCATCCCCTGAAACCAGCCCCAAATCCACCCCAAACCCCGCGAACACGCTGCCCTCGTGGGCCCGCGTCTGCTGCCCGATCTGGTACATGTCTGGGGGGCTGGGTCAGCCCCAAAAACCCCAAAAACTGCCTCAAAAAATACCCTAAATCCACCCCAAAAACCGGCCTTAAATCCACCAGCACAAACCAACACCAAAACCATCCCAAATCCCCCAAACCCCAAATCCCAACCCCACCTTTGCCCCCCTTGCCCAGGGTGCGGGTCCAGGTGAGGATGTTCCCATTGAAGACCCCACCCCAACCCCCATAAATTCCCCCAAACCCCAGCCCACCTTTGCCCCCCTTGCCCGGCGTGCGGGTCCAGGTGAGGATGTTCCCATTGAAGACCCCACCCCAAACCCCATAAATTCCCCCAAACCCCAGCCCACCTTTGCCCCCCTTGCCCGGCGTGCGGGTCCAGGTGAGGATGTTCCCCTCCGAGTCCCCGGTCAGCAGCGCCCCGGCTGCGTCGAAGATGAAGCACTGGATGAATTGAAGACCCCACCCCAAACCCCATAAATTCCCCCAAACCCCAGCCCACCTTTGCCCCCCTTGCCCGGCGTGCGGGTCCAGGTGAGGATGTTCCCCTCCGAGTCCCCGGTCAGCAGCGCCCCGGCTGCGTCGAAGATGAAGCACTGGATGAACTTGGGCTTCTTGTACTTCTAAAATAGGACAAGGGGCTCAGAGACCCCAAAAACCCACCCCAAAAACCCCAAATCCCAAAAAAACCCACCCTAAAACCCACAAATCCCAAAAAACCCAGCCCAAAAACCACAAATCCCCAAAAAACCCACCCCAAAAACCCCAAATCCCAAAAAAACCCACCCTAAAACCCACAAATCCCAAAAAACCCAGCCCAAAAACCACAAATCCCCAAAAAACCCACCCCAAAAACCCCAAATCCCAAAAAAACCCACCCTAAAACCCACAAATCCCAAAAAACCCAGCCCAAAAACCACAAATCCCCAAAAAACCCACCCCAAAAACCCCAAATCCCCAAAAAACCCACCCTAAAATCCCCAAATCATCACAAAACCCAACCCAAAAACTCCAAATCATCACAAAAACCCACCCCAAAATCCTCAAATCACCACAAAACCCACCCCAAAAACCACAAATCCTCAAAAAACCCAAATCCACCCCAAATGACCCCAAAGGTGCCCAAACCCCCTGGGCCTGACCCCGAAGATGCCGTGCTTCTTGG